ATCACTCTCTGAGGTACTTTGTGAAACCACCCACCAAAAACTTTGGCCAATTATTAGATAATGTGTTTTTATATCAAACCTTCCTTATCAAAAGATTAATACTGGGCCAAAGGAAAATCATTTTACAAAAGTTAATGGGTGTATTTGGGAATATTAATTATAGAACATAGCCAGTGGTGAAATGTTCCAGGGTTTAATAAAAAGAGAAACCAAGTTAAAGCCATTTCACTCCTAAATGATATTCTTAATATAAAACAAATATAAAATTTGTACATGTAGCTGACATTAATAAGTCCTTTAAAGGAGTCCTACCAAGGGCTTACACAGGTCTATAGAACTTTAAATGGCAGGTAGGTGAGGTGATATTTTATGTACTTTATGAATTATTTTCCACCACATACATACACACATAAACTGAAACAACGAAACACCTGACTGCTACTGATGTCTACTTCTAAAACTCTGACAATCATCTCCATGAGGTTCCCACAGATGCTGTCCAGTACTCAATAAGTATCCTTCTACTCTCAATAGCATTTGTACATGGCCATTTCACTAAGTGTTTTATGTCAAAGTATTATGTATGTTTTCTTCCCTATATGATTAGGTTATGTCTGTTATTTAATAAGCAGTAAGTTGTTTTGTGAACTCTCTTCCATGAAAACTCAAACCACTACATAGTACATATTTTGATTCTCAGAGCCTGAGAGTAGCTGGATAATTTATGTTGTTACATAAATTATTGATACATCTAATCAATTGTGATTTTTTTTCATTAAGATGTCTCAAATAATTATTTCAATTTCCTATGGGGCCCTGTCTTGTATATGAAAACAACTAGTTTGGTTGAATCTCCTGCATCTTTCCATGATATATAATGAAGAGATGTATGTTATGACACACGTTATATTTAAGCACATATATGTATTATATATTTGAGGGCAGTACTAGGAGTTGAATTAAAGGCCTCATGTATGCTTGGCAAGCATTCTAACAATAAAGTAACAGCCCCATTTGCCTCTCAAAAGACATTTTGGTCAAGTATACTGAGGGTCCTTTGACGTATGTTTCATGAATTCTAGAAAAGCTACAACGTCCTCAAACATTGCCTCTCCCACGTGCTACCTTTCTAACTATGAAGTTACTGAAAATTAATTTTTAACTCCCTCAACACATCTTTCTAATCTCTGAACTCATTTTCACGTACATGCCTGTAACACCAGCATCTGCGACATAGTGGCAGCAGGATTAGGAGTTTATGGCCAGCCTCAGCTACATAGTGAAACTGGGCTACACTAGATAGTCGTGTTTTTTTTTTTTTTAAATTTAAGAAATAGTACATTTTTTCCCCCAGAAAACTCTGAGACTTTGTAGGACTATCAGCAGAATTATCCCACCCTAAGACACAGTCAGAAACTTCAACACTAATGCTATTCTAATTTTCTATCTTTGGAACAGAATTAAGTTAATTTTCATAGAAATTGATTGTCTTTGGCTGAGGCACCATGATAATACACACTAATTAGAAAGACTAGGCAAATGGTACTGGGAAATTTATAAATGAAAAGATGAAACATGTGAGTGATGGGGAGAAGAGTCAATGGAAATGTAATAGGAAAAGCTATTACATTGGCCATTAGTAATAAGTAATAACTAATTTGTAATTAGTAATAAGTAAACTTAGAGTTGGTGTAAAATTTCTCCATATAGCCTAAAGCAGCTGCTGTGGCCCCGTCCCCTCCCTTTTAAGTTTGAGTCTTATTTTAGCCTTAAACTCATGATCCCAATCCTCCTGCCTCTAGTTCCCAAGCACTGTGGTTACAGGTAACATTTATCATAGGATATATTTTTTAAAAAAACAACTTTATCATTCACTTAATATTTGTCAATCAACTATTTTATTAATGAGAATCCAAATCCTGGTGTGTTTGAGTTCAAGTGCTTTTTCCACTTCAAGTCTAAGAGTCAAGGTTGCAAACTAGGTAAGTTACATTGCCTCTGGCTGCAGAGCATAAATAGGAAAACAAGAGTATGTTTGCTTGAGGAGATGAAAGAAACTTGGAACAGTAATTAGTGGATTCACCTGTTTCTCTTTTCAAGCCAGGGCCAAAGGCTCTAACAGATGGTAGAGAAATAATGCTTACTGAGAACATAAGATAGGTACTCTCTAAATCTAAAACACAAAAACCGAAACAAACTACTTAAGTTGGTTGGGATGCATACTACTAAAAAACAAATAATGTTCAAATTATAAAAGCAAGCAATCAAAGATTCATCACACAATTTAAGAAACGGTATCACCAACATGACTGGGCACTTCCCTAGCCCATCTGCTTCCACTACGAGGCAACCATTAAAATGAATTTGATGCCCGGTCCCTGCTTTTCCCTACTATAATCTTAGCACACACATATATAAACCGAAACAACTGTTTATTTTTGCTAGCCTTTAAACTTTAAAGGCTGTATGCAGTCTTCCACAAACTGGTTCCTTCAGTCACTCTGTTTTTAAAATCCTATCCATTCTATGGTTGTTGGTTATTTGTTTTCATATTTATTTTAGATTCATTCAGGCCACACATAGTTCCGCAACTATTCATTTAGAAAAGAAAAAAAAAAGTATTTTCCTGTTACATTTAAAGAAAATTATAAATGGATACAGATCACACCTTTCCATAATTACATTATACAAATAGCCTTGTCAACGCATACCAAAAAGTCATCATTCAACATCACTGAAAAAAATATATATACTTTCTGAGACTGGAGAGATGATGGCTTAGCAGTTAAGAGCACCTGCTGCTCTTGCAAGAGGAGAAAGAGGTTCAGTTCACAGCAATTATATGGTGGCTCACAACCACCTCTAATTCCAGTTTCAGATATGATACCCTCTCTGGCTTCCCTGGACACCTACATATATGCAGGCAAAACACTTGTCCATATAAAATTTTTCTTTAAAATCTACCTTCATGGGTCTGGAGAGATGGCTCAGAGGTTAAGAGCACTGGCTGTCCTTCCAAAGGTCCTGAGTTAAATTCCCAGCACCCACATGATGGCTCACCACCGCCTCTAATGAGATCTGGTGCCCTCTTCTGGTGTGCAGGTGTACATGCAGGCAGAGCGCTGTATACATAATAAATAAATAAATCTTAAAAAAATACTACCTTCATGAGAACTTTCTAAGATTACTATTTGTACAGCTCCCCCTTTGACTTCATAGTTCATCACATTTAAAAACAAAGCGTCTCACTAACAAAGATGGAGCACTCCTACTAAAGCAGCAGTTTTCGACCTTCCTAAAGCTGTGGCCCTTTAATACACCTCCTCATGTTGTGGTGACCCCCAGCCATAAAACTATTTTTATTGCTACTTCCTAACTGTCATTTTGCTATTGTTATGAATCATAGTGTAAATATCTATGTTTTCTGATGGTCTTAGGGTGACCCCTGTGAAAGGGTTGTTCAACCCCCAAGTGGCTCATGACCCACAGTCTCAGAACACCCGTACTACAGTCTTACTATGCTTCATGCATTAAATTGTTAAGACGTCCTTTTCTCTCTTTGCTAAAACATGTTAACAGCAAAATTGGGTTTAGGATGCAGTCATGCAGAGTGCTTACCTAGTACACACAAGACCTTAGGTTGGACCCCCCCCCCCCGCCCTTTATAAAAAGGGAGTGGTAGGCATGCCGGCAATCCCAGCATGAGGGAGGTGGAAGAATCAGAAGCTGGTCGTTTTCTTCAGCTACAAAGCGAGTTTGTGATCAGCCTGGGTTAAACACGCCTCTGGGATTTTGTGTTTGTTTTGTCTTTTTTACAAATAAGTACCAACCAACAAAACTGCTACAAATGTGGGATGGCAATGCATTTACTGTCAGATGCATTTTCCTCAAACTCTTCTAATATAACGAACATCTAGTGGTATACTAGAGTTGCCAGGTGATAAAAAGATCCACTTCTAATACATTTTGGCTCTCATTTCTGTAAACAGATCAGGAAAATAGTTCATACACCAAATTTGTTTTCATTTTTTTCCCTGCTTAGTTGTTTTCTGTTACATTACCTTTGCCAGCAGTGTGATAACAGAATTTTTCTAGTGCAGTAAAAGGGAGACAAGTCTTTTTACTTGTTTATCATAAAAATGATAGAGGACTCAATAAATATAGGTTGTTATTACTGAAGGTCCTCCTTTTCATGTCAGGTCACATCTAACACAGATATCTCCCCTACTGTCATACTTTGCATTTTACTCAAACAGCAAAATGTGATCCTAGCAGGCAGAAGCTAAATCAGCCTGGCACAGGGATTAGCCACAGAAGTATGACAAGTATTAGCCCTTCCTCCTCCCTCAAATTATTTAATGACACTTAGAAAAAAACTTTTCATACAACGTCCAACAGTGCTTTATTTATCCTATGTAGGGTAGATGAAGGGTAGAAGAATATAAGATTATCCAGCACAATACCCACTCCAATTATGATCACTTTCGGTTATCATATTATTGGGGTTGGGCAGCAATTTAAAGGTGATCCAATACAAACTTATTTTTATAAGTAATAAAAGAAAAATCACTTATTTCTGAGTTGCTAAGCGAGAATCTTTAAGTCCAAGCACTGAAATCCATTCAGTCCGTGAACTCTCTCCCGAGTTTATAAGAACTCTCTACACAAATAGTTAACAAGCATTAAAACGTTCTACAAATTACGGAGACATATTTACTCAACCTCCTGTTTCATTCTCAGGATTGTTAACCCTACTTAAGTTATTTCAAGTTAGGCATTACTCAAATTTATTCCGCAGCTCACACAGTGTTGGGAGGTTTGAGGAGTTAAATTAGGACTGGAAGAGTAGGGGAGGGTTGAAGGTACCAAGCATCCTGACACTGTCAACAGAGAAGTTTATAGAAAACGGAAAAGACAGGTGACCATGGGGACGCAGAGCATACTCCTTTTGCTCCCAGAGAGCCTTTTAAAACAGCAACATCCAGGGAAGCGATACCTACGGCATTTCGGGACTCTTGGCAACGGCCACCGTTGCAGGACAGAACCGATTGAGAAACCGCAAGCGCGGAAGCATAAGAAATCCCGCGCAGCAGGCTCTGAGTGAGGTGTCACACCTAATGCAGCCCGCCGGAAACAGTCTCCGCACGATAAAGAGCCCGAACCTGTGCAAGGAAATCGGTGTGCAGGGAGTCTAAGGCCAGAGCCCTGTCTCGTCCCTGCCGGATGCAGCACACGACCTTCTCTCACTTTTCAGTCTGGTAACAGACACCCTTCAATGGCAAGACTGTTCTCTCTGGGTCAATAGTTCAAAGATCTCTGGTCGGACCATTTGGAAGGCGTTCTGCCCCTCACTTCCGGTGGCGGAGAGGCGCAGTTGCTATGGTAATCTTAAAAAGGCGGAGGTCCGTCGGGTTGGGCCGAGAGGTTCGCGGAACTACTAAGGAAAATTGGCTGCTAGTCTCGGTTTGTGAGCTGAAATTAGGTAGCCACCGGCTCCCTCTCTCGCTCTCTCGCTCGCTCTGCCTCTCCCACCTGCTTCGTTTACTTCTGTGTCCTCCCTGAAACATACATAGCAGCAACTGTGGCCCAAGGCGAACAAAAGCGGAGAGGGCTTGTCAGTTACTCGGTGCCGCGAAGGTGACTGGACGGCTCTCCGTTTTCACTCGGCCCTTTGGATGCCCTAGGCGCTTTTGACGGTTTATTTTTCCTGTTTGCTGTGTGCCTGGTTATTTATGGAGCCGTTTGCTACAATGTACTCTCCAGGCCCCTGTCTCCGTCTTGGACTAGAGTTTTAAATAAGAGGGGGTTTCCGAGCCCTTATGGGTGCCGTTATACATTTATTTAAGCTTCAGTTTAGACTCTCTTCACAGGAAGGGAAAGAATAGAATTCTGGAACATGTCTGCCCTGGGATTTCCATGCGAGAATAACCCTATTTGGAAAGAGCATTTGAAGAAGATCCTTTAAAAATATGTTTTTAAATTGCTTGCTGTAAAGTGAGTGTTCGTTCTTCCTTATTGGAACAGCTTTCTTTCACATTTGTGAGATGGCGTGCACGCATATGTGTTTAAAACCGATGTTTAATTATGGTGATACCGATTTGCAGTAACCAGACTGTGACATCACATCCCTATGGGGTCCTTCTAAATCTGGTGTAATATGAAAGTGTCAGGCAGGCGGCCTGTGTATTATAAATAGGGTACTTCATCCATGATAAGCGATTATTATCTTTCTTTCCCAAGTGTAAAAGACCTACATAATTCAAGAAGGTGCCAGTGATTTAGGCCTCCTGAGTAAGAATCCAATGAGTCCTGAAGGGGACCCTACCTGTGTCATCTTATTGTTCAACTTGAACTATTCAATTTATTAGCTTGGAATGTATTTTTAGAACTCAACGCAGGATAAAGTAATATTGGAAGCCATTAGACCACCAGAACAATTTAGCACCTCATCGTAGCCTTTGTTCAATAAACTTTTGTCCACAGTAACAGTAGAAACTATTGAAATTTCACAGCTTACTCAGGATAACTGGGTGACATCTCTCCCTCAGTTTCATCATCTGTAAAATGGACAAAAAGTGCCTAGTCGGTGTAGTAAAGGGTGAAATAAGATGTGTGATTGTCTATTAATGTCTTATGAGCAGAGGTGCTGTATAGACCCCAGATCTTACTACTAGTAAAAGGATTCAGTAAAGCCCAGTGGTCATAAATAAGACTTCAGTGATTTGGCATATGCTGTATCATTAAAATGTGAAAGAAATGACTTAGTTAATCCTGCTATGGATGGTGGGTGCCAGCTGCAGTTAATTACATAAGACAGTGTTGTGTTAGGGAATTTCACTCCACCTACAGTTTCTTTAGCATGTTTGTGCCCTGCAGTATTCTATCTGCCTCACATTTGTGAACTGATATAGTCTTAACAATGCTCTTAAGTCTCCCCTGATCTCTTATTTTTGAGATGGTGGGAGTATGCATTTATTCAGATTCTTTTGTATTATGCTACATCATTGTTCTTTGGGATGCTTTTATATATTTGAGAAATTATATATGTATATGTGTGTATCTAACTAGAAATCAATTGTTAAGGACTTATTCTATTTAATATGAACTGTTGAGTTTACATAGTTGCTATAACATTTATCTTTTTATTTTATGTATAAAAATTTTAATACCCTAATATCCCACCACATAGTGGAAAGTGGTACATTTGCATTTTAGGTGCTTTATATCCACTAAAATAAAAATTTTAATTATTTTCCAACAGAATGGCCAGCAATTCTGGAAGTGATGCAGCTTTGGGTATTCAGAAATCAGTGCTTTCAGGGAGTCCTCGAACAAAGAAATTTCCACCAACTAAACAGGAGGTATTTTATATGAATTGTAGAGCCGCCTACTTAACTATCTTCAAAAGCAGCTTGGAAAATATTATTTCTAAAGATCAACTTTACCTAGGTAATTTTTTAAGTTGACTATTTTTTCTTAATAGAATAAAAGTCTGAATTTGAATTACATCATTGAATCAGTCCAGTTTCACAATGAAACAAGCAATATAATTTTAAGAAACAATAGCTGTTTATATAGTTAAATATTCTAGGGACCTCCAAATTTTATAGGTTTCTCTATATATCTATACTATATTATACATTAAAATACATTATATTAATGTTACTGTATAATAATAAATATATTTCTAAACTTTTTAGGTATCTCTCATATATCCCGATCTCTCTATGCAAAGAGAGATGATTCATAGATTCCATTAGTTACCACAGAAGAGTCATTATTGTTCTGTTTTTAGTTATCGTTGTGGTACTTTAGATTTATAATAGAATCAAAACACTCTGTCATCTGACTTACTAGTCTGAATTTTGACCTACATTAAAGAAAATATAAAGAATATGCAAAACAGGGTCAAATGACTGTGAGAGAAAAATAACTAGCTATAAGTGAAATTTTAGAAGAGAATTAAGAATTGGGAGATTTTGTTTCTTTAAGGTTTATTTATTATTTATACAGCATTCTGCCTGCATGTATGCCTGCATACCAGAAGAGGGCACCAGATCTCATTATAGATGGTTATGAGCCACCATGTGGTTGCTGGGAATTGAACTCATGACCTTTGGAAGAACAGCCAGTGCTCTTAAACTCTGAGCCATCTCTCCAGCCCAAGATTTTGCTTCTTATTCTACCCATTATCAAATTTAAAATACTTTTGATAGCAGAAGTCCTCCAGATCACTGAATTTGGTCCTTACCAGGCTATCAAATAACTTGGAGGTCTTGATTCTGGTAGTTTTTAGTGGCTAGAGAGTGGTAAATGATGATAGTGGGTAATGCTGACCACTCATGTCAGTTTCATCAAGGCTAATATAATGAGCAGAGAAACTGAGTTTCTTTGCTATCTTTAGAAGTAATTTTCTTAAGTTAAAATTCTTCTGTTTCTGCAGAAATGTCTTGGGTTTTATGCATATGATCTCTTTCTGAGAAAAACCATTTGAAGGAATGATGAAAATTGACAAGATTAAAAAATATATTTGCTATCTAGATGTGCAGCTTGGTCATCATGTGGGTTCCCTAACAATTGGAGTGGAGCTATGGGTCCGTGTGTGTGTGTGTGTGTGTGTGGGTCTGTCTCTGACTCTGTTGCCTACCCTTGGAGCCCTTTCCCTTACCTGGGCTGCCTTATCTGGCCTCAGTAGGAAAGGATTCGCTTAATCCTGCTGAGACTTGATGTGCTAGGGTGGGTTGGTACCCATGAGGGGCCTCTCTTTCTCTGAGGTGAAGGGAAGGAGAAGTGGGAAGAAGGGGGTGTGAGGGTGAGACTGGGAGGAGAGGAGGGAGGGAGGCCTGCAATCAGGATGTAAAGTGACTGTATCAGTTAATGGGAAAAATACATATGCTCTTTAGATAGAATGCATGTATTAAATAGTTTAAGATCAAATGCTCGTGATGGAAGCAATTTAAAAAATTATGTATAATTTTACTTGGACTGATATAATTTTAAAATTAGTAAACTTTCATCTTGAATTTAAAACATCTGTGTTTAATTGGCATATATTAAATAGTATAGATAGAAATCCAGTTAATTAAAACTCCAGTTTGCTGCTGTTGCTAAATTTTCTGACATTTTTAAATTTTATTTTATTTTTTATATTTAGAGATAGTGAGTTTGCTAAGTTAAGCTGGGCAGTGGTGGCACATGCCTTTAATCCTAGTACTAGGGAGGCAAAGATAGGCAGATCGCTGTGAGTTTGAGGCCAGCCTGGTCTACAGAGTGAGCTCTAGGACAGTCAAAGCTACACAAAGAGAGACCCTATTCAAAAAACAAACAAACAAAAAATTTGCTAAGTTAAAAAGTTTAACCCTTTTCTCTGGTATAGTACTTTAATTGTTAACCAGTGAATAAGTATTAGTAAGATACTGTCAGTCCTGTGAAATCTGGGTAGAAAACAAGGCAGTTTTTGCATCTCCAGTGCTACATGTAGCTTGGATTTAAGGTGGAATATTCTTTGTAGCACTGTTGGGCTAAAGATAGTTTTTACGAAGGAAGAATGCGCATCAGTGATGTCTTTCTTACTCCTCTTTTCCGTATATGCTTCTGCCCTCAGCGTGTACCATATGGTCTGAAGTTTCCCTGCAGGGTCAGACACTGCAGGGCCACAGGTGTCACAGACACATGGCAAAGCTTAAGAAAAATGGAAGCAAAAGACTAGTGTACGGAAGCCAACTCTTAACCAGCTGCACTTAGCAAAAACTTCTCTACTTCTGAGTGCATATTTTGGCATAATTAACCTTGTTTTGAGACATTTATTCTTTTTCATGTAATAGTTTTAGAGAAGCTGGTGATGTAGCTTAGTGGTAGAGCTTGCACAGGCCTGGAGATCAAGCACTTAAAAAATGATGCTTCCAGTTGATTCTTAGGTGGTAAGTACAGTAATCAGGCCTGAAGGCAAAGCTCATCACCCCAGTCCTTATAAGGGAAGCTGAAGCAGGAGGATTAACTTAAGGTTGAGGCCAGTCTGGGCTGTAACAGAGGCTGTCATCTGGAGTGAGGAGTGAGGAGCTGGGAGGTATGGGGAGAGGTGGGAATGTGTGTGGGGGAATTTTTTGGTTATTGAAGATAGCAGCAAGTGTTTGCCAAGCTGCTCTTTTGGAGAGTTGTAAGATAGTTTCTAAGTCTTGCTCCATGGGTTTTTAACCTTCAAATGACAACTTCATTTACCTTGTACTTTATTCTCTCCCATTCTAGTCGCTGGAGTTGACTAGGGGTAGATTGATACCTAAATGCTTATGCCATTTCTCTGATTCTGTTGCCAGATGACTTATTAGGCAGATACTT